ATTTGCCACCAGTAACTCGAATAACTTGCCCCGCAAACTAAATTTACACCTAATAAAAAACTTAGAAATAGGTAAAAGGGGCCAGGTGCGGTGGCTCACACCTGTAATCCTAGCACTTTGGGAGGCCAAGGCAGGCAGATCACGAGGTCAGGAGTTTGAGACCAGCCTGGCCAACATGGTGAAACCTCATCTCTACTAAAAATACAAAAATTAGCCGGGCATAGTGGCCGGTGCCTGTAATCCCAGCTGCTAGGGAGGCTGAGGCAGGAGAATCGCTTGAACCCGTGAGGCAGAGGTTGCAATGAGCCGAGATTACACCACTGCACTCCAGCCTAGGTGACAGAGCAAGATTCTGTTTTGGGAAAAAAAAAAAAAAAAAGAAAGAAATAGGTAAAAGGATGACTGCACGGTTTTCAAGGTCATATTACAATGTTGACTAAAAGGCCCACCCTGGGATTCCTTAAATCTGTAGGGGAATGAACTTTTGATTGATTTTCTGTTTACCATTGATCAGGCCCCAGATTCTGAGAAAGTATATGTTAAATTATAAACGTGTGTGTAGCCAGATGCAAATGATTTCTGTCTATTAAAAAAGATAATTCCACAGTTACAGGTTTTTCTATTGCCCTATCCACAGGGTAATAATGTGTGCTCTAATTTAACAAACTTATTTCACAACATCATCCCCAGTAAACTATACAAATCTCTGTTATTCAAATGATTTTTGAATTATTTTAATAGTTCTCTCACTAATGAGTTAAATACATCTTTGATGCATATTCAATCTAAATTGGATGAGTAATATTTTTAGCTTTGTAAATTGTATTATGATGTCTCTTGTTTTGAAGATAATGCTTATCCAAAGTTCAGTAATTCCTTTAGTTTCTTTTTCCTCTTAAAATTCAAGTAAAGCCTGGGCATGGTGGCTCACACCTATAATACTAGCACTTTGGGAGGCTGAGGCAGGAGGATCGCTTGAGCCTAAGAGATCAAGACCAGCCTGGGCAACATAATCAGATCCTGTCTCTTCAAAAAAAAAGAATTAGCAGAGTATGGTGGCATGTACCTGTAGTCCCAGCTGATATGGACAGGAGGCAGAGAAATACTGGGTAGGAGAGGGCAGTTCCCTGGCAAATGCCCCACCGTCAAGCCTGGGAACCCACAGCCCTAAATTGGAACAGGCATTTCTGTTTTTGCATCCAAATGTTGCCTTTTCCAAGACTACTCTGGCCTGCCACACCCCTATCTTGTGTCCATCTGACAGCTAGACCTCCATGAAGGGAAAGAGAGCCAATATTACTTTTACCCAAAGGAAAGAGAGAGGTGGCAGGATCTTAGAAAAGAGGCAGATCTTAAACCCCAAACTCCATGAGCAGAGGAACAGAAGAACAGCAGTGGCAGAGAAGGAGAGATGAGAAGGAGCATCTGAATATCAGGAGAAGTTCGGCTGGGGACGGTTGAAGAGGAGATCAGCTGCGGGATGGCTAAACTCCAAGGGAAGATCATCTTCCCACTTCATCCATTCTCCAGCTCCCCATTCATCCCATAAGAGCCACATCCATCACACAATAAAATCTCCACATTTGCCATCGTTCAAGTCTTCTTGAACGATGACCAGATTCTTCCTGGATGCCAGATAAGGATCTGGGTACCAAGAGGGCAGGGTATATTCAATCTAGGGCTTCAGGTTGAGGCCCTAGAAAGGAAAACCAGATCTGAGGGATCCAAAGCCGGGCAACAAGCACAATGTAAATGGGAAGGACCAATTCCTGCTGACTAAACCCTTGTTTCATGAAAGGAGGCCGTGCTCCATGACACAGATGAGGCCCAGGGAGCTCAAAGGTTGTTGGCAGCAAGGGAAATAGGGCATACTGTGTAAGAGTGGATATTCTCACCTCCCAGACCCCCCTGTTAACATGAATAAAAGCCACTTTGGCACCCATGGATGGCACCTGCCAAGGTCACTAGGACTTGGGAACAAAAAGACAGAAGAGGCAAGGGGGATGCCTGCTTTCTCTCCATCACAACCTGAGTTATCACTAAAAGAAGGGAAGGAAATGAGGGTCACCTCTATTTCTTGCCTTTCAGAATGGGCAATCAGCTGTCTTCACTACTCCCAGCTTATACTCCTCTGGAGTGTATCCTGAACCACTGGGACTGCTTTGACCCTCAGACTCTGGAGGAAAATGGCTCATAGCCCTCTGCACAAAGGTTTGGGCAAATTATGAAAGACTGGCTTGGCCTCAGGAAGAAACCATTCATTTTGATACCATCCAGCAGTTGCAGCTTTTCTGTAAACGTGAGGGCAAACACTCTGAGGCCCCATATGTGCAGGCTTTCTATACCTTGCTGGGCAATCCAGACCTTTGCTGACAATGTAGAATTAATCCAGACCTATTTGCCATCTCGGGAGAGGCTGCAAGGGGCAATCCCAGGGAACTAAACAAACAAATCCCAGAGGTATCCCCAGCAGAGGAACCAGCTCCCTTCAGCCCTGCTCCTCCAGGTCCACCCCATCCTCCCTATCCAGCTTCAGTCTCTCACTTGCCCCCTTCTAGAAATTCTCACCCTAGACAAGCCCCAGTCTCATTCTTTCCCCTCCAACAGATGCCTGGTGAATTTGCCCCAGTAAGGTCCAGGTGCCCTTCTCTCTACAGAACTTGAAGGAAATTGAGGGGGATGTTGGCAAGCTTTCAGATGATCCTGAAAGATATATAGAGGCTTTCCAGAATTTAACCCAAGTATTTGAACTCTCCTAGGAAGATGTGATGTTACTTTGAACCAAACCCTGACTAACACTGAAAAACAGGCCACTCTGCAAGTGACAGAGAGATCTGGGGATGAGGTTTGTATCACATGTAGCACCCAGGAAAGGGGGTGAATATTATCCAACTGGAAGAGAAGCAGTATCAATGAATATCCCTAAATGGGATTCCAATGACAAGATGGGAGAATGGAAGAGGAGACAGTTTCAGGTGTGCATAATAGAGGGCTTATGTAGGGCTAGAACTAAGCCTCTTCACTATATCAAGATATCCATGATAGACCAGGGATTTAATGCAAATTCCACTGCCTTCTTGGGGAGGCTAAGAGGGTCCTTTGTAAAGCATAGGTCTCTATGTCCTGATTCCGTCAAGGGACAACTAATCCTAAATGATAAATTTATTACTCAGGCAGCCCCTGATATCAGGGTTAAGTTGCAGAAATAGGCCCTGGCATCAGGGAGTACTTTAGGAGACCTCCTGAAAGTGGCTACCTTGGTCTTTTACAGTAGAGATAGGGAAATACGAGAAAGAGGCAGAAGCTTTAAGGACCACCATGCAAACCCACAAACCCCAGGATTCCCAAGGTTCATCTGTTAACTCCTACAAATGTGGCAAGAACAGTTATCTTTCTTCTAAAATTTAACCACACCCCTACAAGTATTAATTTCTTTCACCAAGGTGAAACAGCTTGGGGTACAATGTTGTTAGTATATTACATTTCCTATTTCTGTAATCTTTGGCACTAGATTATTTCCTTGTATAATACACATGTTTAACCCATGCATACTTAACACCTTGTAAAACTTGTTTTATTCTCTCAAGTTTGAGGTCATCAAACTCCAAATGGTCAGGCAACTGGAGCCTTGGATGATGACTCCCCTTCCCCAGGGACCCTTATATAGACCTCTGGGAGGAATCTGACTTCTGTTTTCCCCAAAATAATGTCCCCATCAGCGGGAAGTAGCTAAGACTGATCATCGTCCATATCCTAATGGCAATTAGATGGGCCTCTTAGAGGGGGGAAATGATACAGATACAGGCAAGGAAATACCCGGGGTAGAAGAGGCAGTTCCCCAACGAAGGCCCACCCTGAAGCCTGGAATTCCATGGCCCTAAGTGGGAGCAAGCATTCCTATTTTCATGCCCGAATGTTGACTTTTCCAAAACCACTGTGGCCTGCCACACCCCTATCCTGTGCCCATATAAACCCCCAAGCTCTACAAGCAGAGGAACAGAGGAGCAGCAGAGCAGCAAAATGGCATGGCAGAGAGAGAGGGAAGAGAAGGAGCATCTGAATGTCAGGAGGAGTTTGGCTGAGGACGATGGGAGAGTAGACAAGCCGCGGGATGGCTGAACTCCAGGGGAAGATCATCTTCCCACTCCATCCCCTTTCCAGCCCTGCATCCATTCCTCTGAGAGCCAACTCCATCACTCAGTAAAATCCCCACCTTCACCATCCTTCAAGTTGATGTGACCTGATTCTTCCTGGATGCCAGACAAGGACATGGGTACCAAGAGAGTATAAAAGGCTGTCACCCTGACTCTCCACTGAATGGAATAGCTATCCACAAAAAGCAATTGCTAAAGGGCATTGCTTGTAATGCACTCCTAGATGCTACAATGGGGTTGGAGCCCAAAAGCACTCACCCTGGCTCCTGCACCTGCCCGTCTGCATGTTCCCCCTCCCATAAGGGGTTTAAGTGTGCAGCAGCCTTGCAAACAAGCCACACCCCTGTCACAAGTCCTGTGAGGGGGTCAGGGAACTCTCTTGTGTTAGCCCAACTGGCGCCATCAAGTAAACCCCTGCCATTTTGCACACCCCGATCAGGGAGGAAACTTCCATGGGGGCTCAGGCCATGAAAAACATTTTGCCAAACAGATCCCAGCCACACTGCCTGACTGCAGGAAGTGGCTCACTTATTACATCCTGCCAGGCAGCTAGCCACACTGCCCCACCTCCCCTGTCCAGACCTATGATTGTCCCAGTCTGGAAGCAGGACAGGTGCTCCAGCACTTGTTGGTGCTCCCCCTCCACAGGTTTCTCTGTCCAATAAACCTGTGTTGCTGTCGAGCTTCCCCACCTTGTATGTCTCTTTTCTCTGTCCTAACATCCTGTTTCACAGCTACTTGTAGGGCTGAGGTAGGTGGGTTACTTGAGCCCAGGAGGTTAGGCTGCAGTGAGGCAAGATGTGCCAGTGCACTCCAGCCTGGGTGACAGAGACCCTATCACACAAAAAAAGTGAGAAACTCTTTATTAGATGAATTGCTTTAAATCCAGAACACAAGAATAAATGCTTCTTAAAAAAATAATTCAGGAAGGTAGTTGAGGCAAGAAAGTTGGTAGCTGGCAACTTGCGTCCCTTCGCCTTGACAAGTTCAGTTCTTCCTGGCCTTGATCTGTGTGGCCAGCTTCAGCATTATCCTGCAAGCCAGAACTTGCTTATTACTGGGACTGACACATAAACGTCGCCCGTTCTTGGTGAGGAAGCTGGGGAACAAGGGGGAGAAAGGTTACAAACTGAGGTGTGTCCAGCACATGGGGACAGGGGACCCCATTCTCCCTGCCCCTCAGATTTCCCAGTCAACACAGCCAGTTTTGTTTCCTTTTTTTTCATTCTCTGCTGATGGCAACTCAGGCCAGTGTCCTCTTGAGATCCCCCTCAGCCTGTGGGACTCCGTAGTGACTTATGCGAGCATCCTTGGGCAGACTTGTGCCTGCTTTCTTCTTCCTTCCCCACCCTTTTTCCCCTGGGAATGTCTCATCCCTGATGCCCTGCAGGATCCTCATAAGGACACAGATGCCCCATACCTGGGAGGATCCAGAGGGTGGGCCCTGATGGACACCCATCTATCAGGTCCTCCCTGCAAGATGCTACAGAGTCCTTCTCCCTCAACACATGTTTGGTGAGCTTGGCACTTACATGACACCCGGCTTGGGGCACTTGCTGCTCGTTTCAAGGTAACTCTTCAAGAGTGAACATGGGATGCTTCCTGGGATGTAGGAGGTGCAGCAGTCAGCATTTTTCATAGCGTGAAAGCCTGCAACAAGAGAAAGGGTCGTTTGAGGACCAATCTTTCTCCTCCAGAGCACTGTGGAGGGTGAGAAGGCACGTGGCTCGGAAGAGATGTTTCCTCCTCTGTGGCCGGCACTTGCTGGCATCTCCCTGCTTCAGATCCTCACCAGAGTTGAGCTGTGTGTCTGAGGGCACTCAGGGTGGACCACAGCAGGACCAAGAGCATTTCCCCCAGAAAAGGAAGTCATCTGCAGACACCTGCAGGCATCAGAGAGCACCTTCTGCCCCAAAGAAGCAGACTCTTGGGGCAGCCAGAGGGGAACAGGGAAGGCATCTATGGAGGGGGTTCCCCTAGCCCATCCTGATCTTTCTTGGAGATGTTCACCACCCTCAGGACCCTCTCATTCTCCTCCCATACTGTAAACAGGGACAATGGATCCCATAGTGCAGACCTGCACCTGCTGGCTGCTTTTAAATATATGCCGTATCTGATCACTTACTGTCCAGAACTTCTGGATTTGCCAGTGAAAGCTTTGACATCATGAACCCTGTCTCGGCATCTGGAAGAAAGACAGGACGGGGAAAGAAATCACTGGGCAAGAGCATTGTTTCAGCATCTCCACCCACCCCGTTGCTCAACCCCCTCCTGAGGCAGAAAGGCTCTGAAGCTGGACCACCACCACCTGTCTGGGTTCTAGGCCTGCCTCCTGGCCCATTTATTCCTTTAGGGCCCTGGGACTTTTCAGGGACCTTTTGAAAATGTAGACATGAAAACATTGTGTTGACTCTGAAATACTAAAAGTAACCTCAAAATCTAACATGGTTCAGTTAATGGAATATCTACATGATGTGACACAGTCTACAAGTCTCTACACATTTCTGGAATCCATAGTACTCTGGAAACGGAGAGGTGTTCATCAGCGCATATGGTGGCACAGTATCCTCTTAAGTGAAATGAAGCTATTATGGTCATTATTCATCCCAGTTAGTAGAAATATTCATGTGCTTGTTACAGGAGATTGCTGTGTTTGATTAAAATATTGTTCCCAGGCCTCATCAGGGATAAGTACCATCAATATATGTTTAAGTTTTTACTAAATCATTTTTAAATTGTGGTTATATATATATATATAAAATATAAAATTTGCCGTTTGAACTATTTTAAGATTACAGTTCAATAGCATCAAATACATTCAAATAACTCTGCAATTTTCATGACCATTCATTCAGAGAACTTGTTCATTTTGTGAAACTGAAACTCTATATTCATTAAACAACAACTCCCCATTCTTCCTCCCCTTAATCCCTGACAACCACTATCTAGGTCGTGTCTCTGTGGATTTGATTGCTCTAAGTACCTCATGTGAGTGGAATCATACGCTATTTGTCCTTTTGCGACTGGTTTATTTCACTTAGCATAATGTCCTTGATGGTCATCCATATTGTAGCACGTGTCAGAATCTCCTTACTTAAATTTTTTTAAATTTTTATTTTTTCTTACTTCAACATTCAAGGGAATCTCCTTACTTTTTGAGGCCAAATAGATTCCATTGTATGTATGAATCACACTTTGTTTATCTACTAACCTTTTGATGGGCACTTAGTTTGCTTCTACGTTTTGGCTATCGTCATCAATAACGCTGCTGTAAATATGGGTGTACAAAAATCTCTTCATGTACCTGTTTTGAATTATTTTGGATGTATACCCAGAAATAGAATTGCTGCATCATATCATATTAGCTTTTTAAAACCTGAGAAATTCTGCATTCCAAAATTCATCTAGCGCCAAGTGCTTTGGAAATGGGATTGTGGAGCTGCCTCATGCTTGTTAGGCAAATGAAACTAAGCTTTACACTTTTTTCCTTTCTTTTTAATTTTAATCCTCAAAGTTAGTTTATTTCCACAATTGACTGTATCACAGAATAAAGTTAGCTTTAAAATTTGGCCGGGTGCGGTGGCTCATGCCTGTAATTCCAGCACTTTGGGAGGCCAAGGCGGGCAGATCACTTGAGGTCAGGAGTTTGAGACCAGCCTGGTCTACCTGGTGAAATCCCGTCTCTACTAAAAATACAAAAATTAGCCGAGTGTGGTGGCATGCGCCTGTAATTCCAGCTACTAGGGAGGCTGAGACAGGAGAATCGTCTGAACCCGGGAGGTGGAGGTTGCAGTGAGCCAAGATTGTGCCGCTGTACTCCAGCCTGGGCCACAGAATGAGACTCCATCTCAAAATAAAATAATATAAATTTAAATAAATATTTACTTTTAATATAATTTGATAATTATATTAAATATATTTTAAGTACAACGTAATAACTATTAAATATACTTTTTCTTTTTTTAAAATTAATTAAATTTACTTTTATTTTACTTTAAGTTCTAGGATACCTGTGCTGAACGTGCAGGTTCATTACATAGGTATACATGTGCCATGGTGGTTTGCTGCACCTATCAACCCATTATCTAGGGCTTCCACATGCACCGGGTATTCGTCCTAATCCTTTCCCTCCTTTTTCCCTCCACTCCCCAACAGACCCCAGTGTGTGATGTTCCCCTCCCTGTGTCCATGCGTTCTCAGTGTTCAACTCCCACTTATGAGTAAGAACATGTGGTGTTTGGCTTTCTGCTCCTGTGCTAGTTTGCTGAGAATGATGGTTTCCAGCTTTACCCATGTCCCTGCAAAGGACATGAATTCATTTCTTTTTATGGCTGCATAGTATTACATGGTGTATATGTGCCATATTTTCTTTATCCAGTCTATCTTGATGGGCATTTGGGTTGGTTCCAAGTCTTTGCTATTATGAATAGTGCTGCAATAAACATAAATGTGCATGTATCTTTTAATATAATATATAAGTATGCTTTTAATATATTAAAAATAAATACACTTTTAATATAATTTAATAACTGTATTAAATATCTTTTAATATAATTCAATAACAATATTAAATATACTTTTAATATAACTTAATAACCACATTAAATATGCATTTAATATAATTTAACAATTATATTAAATATACTATTAATAATTTTAAAGCCAGCTTTAAAGTTGATATTTACTTAACATTTTGAAACATAAAGACTTAGCAATAACGATTCAGCTGCCAACTTAGTCCCCCAATTGCTTTCTAGTGTTTTCAACTTATTTCTTATATGGTTACATTAAATGAATTATATGTAATGAGGCATGTGGGTGTATTTTAATATGTTCAATATGGTTTGGGTAAGGTAAAAAAAAGATATTAAATGGCCTTGTCTTTCCATAACTACTTCCTTATTAGCTCATATTTTAATTCCACCACTTACTAGTTGTGTGATCTACCAAGTTATCTAAGGTTCTGTGCCTCAGTTTTCTCATTTGTAAAATGTCAATAATAATATGAAAAACTATATAAAAATTGATGTTTTGTTTTCTCCCTACAAAAGTAACATATTTGCATTTTTATTTTTTTATCTAATACATATCCCACAGGGTTGTTAGATAGAATTGATGTGTTAATATCTGTAAGACACTTAGAACAGTGCCTGCCCTGTACATAGGAAGTACTAGAAGTGCATTTGTTAAACAAAAAAATATGATGGTTAGGTGACCTTGGTTGAGTCATTTGTGTGGCTGGTTCCATTTCTTCTCCACAATGATATTATAGATGATGCTAGATCGTATGTAACAGTTTTAACATCATACAATTCTATGCTTCTTTCTACAAATTTGTAATTTTACTACACTTCTTTTAATTTAGCACTTAATAGTCCTATGTCAGCTAAGGGAAGGTATCAAATAATTTTGCTGTGAAAAAGGAAGTAATTGGCCCCACATTGGACCAGCCATATGTGTATATTCCCCTCCCAGGGTCCAAAGACTGCAGACAGAGCCAGTTCTATATTCTGGCGCTGCTTTTAAATGAGTACCATGACCATGTCTGAGAGGGTGAGTAGTGACAGGAGGGCAATGTGTCTCTGTCCCAGAGCTTGAGTTACCATGAACCTGGTTGCCTGGGAGAAAGCTCACTGGACTCACCATCTGTGACCTGGGCCTGGGATCCAAGGGCAGTAACAAACATGAGGCAGGAGAGGACAGCCACGGAGACCTTCATCCTCCTGGTGGGCAGGCAGGGCTGGCCGAGGACTCCTGGGCTCACTGCTTCCTGGCTCCCAGGATGCCAGCTTTGCCCTTGTATTTATAAGAGGAGGAGGATCAGGAAGTCCCAGGGCAGAGGTCAGAACGCTGTTTTTTGACTTATGATAGTTAACAGGCTCTTTCTAAAATGCGAACAATGCTGGGAATGCAACAGGAAGTAGACGACAAGGATGATTTGGACTGTCCTTGTGGACTTCCCAAATTGTCCCAATAAGTACAGGCAGAGACAGCAAATACTTTATGATGGATCCTTCCCCTGGGAGATTCATTCATCCTCTAAACAGTGGAGTTTTTTTTCCCTCAGGAGCTAACCACCTTCAGATGCTCAAATAGCCTGTACACATGGGGACCACCAGAGAGAACACTTCAACTTGTAGAACTGTGATCTCTGTTGGTAACCACAGCTCATATGACATCCCGTGATGGACAGCCCATGATGTGTACTTACACAGCGTGATTGTCTAGTATAAGCTGAACTACTCTAGAAGATAATGGGTAGAGTGTAGGGCAAGGATGAGCACATGGGAGCTAAAGTATCCCCTTGTGGGGGTAGCCCGCCTTCCTTCTCAATTCTGCACTTAGTCTCTGGAAAGGAATATTCTTCGTCCAGTGTCTGGAGATATCCTTGACTCCTCTCTTTGTCTCATACCCCATATCTAATTCATTAGTAAGTATTTTTGCCTTATTTCAAAAATATAGCCAGAATCTTATTATTCCTTCAAAAGAAAACTCCCATTTATTTCTCTACTACTATTCTCAATGCTTCACTTCTGAGACTACTTGGTACTAGCATAGACTACAGAGGTTAAGGGCTCAGTCCCATGAGACTGGCACCACTTCAGATGCCAATCTCAAATAGTGGGTCCCCAGGTTATCCACAAGTTCTCTTTGACTTGGCTACACATCGGAACTTCCCATGACCCCCTCCTCAGGTTCTGTAATTACTAAAATAGCTTTCAGAACTCAGAAGAACAGTTTACTTACAGGGTTATATTATAAAGCATACAACTCAGGAACAGGTCAGTGAGATGCATAGGGCAAGACATGGGGAGTGGGTTTGGAGCTTCTGTGTCCCATGCAGGTGTGCCACTCTCTCAGCGCCTCCACTGAACACTGTTCCAAGTTCACCAACCTGGAAACTCTCTAAACCCTACTCTCTTAGGTTTTTATGGAGGCTTTATTACATAAGCATGCTTGACTAAATCGTTAACCATTAGTGATCAGATAAATCTCCAGCCTCTCTCCCCTCCCTGGAGTTTGGGGGTAGAGGCTGAAAGTTCCAATCCTCTCACGGTTGGCTCCCATGGCAACCAGCTCTCATCCTTAAGGCTTTCCAAAAGACACTTCATTAACATAAACTCAGGTGTGGTAGGAAGTACTTGTCCAGACTTGCAGCTTGTATGTGCCTCAGTATTGAGCAGATTCTTACGTGCTTCTTACACCTCAGCATCAGAGAATCCCCGGTGCAGGAAAAGAGGGGTGTGCATGATGGATAAGGTGAGGTGCTGTCAGATTATACTATCTTGAGCTGGGCAGAGCCTGTATGCAACTGGCTGCTGTAGTGGTGGCTAGAGTCAGAGATGAAGCTGATAGAATGGAAGTGGTGTACAGAGGTGTCTGACACAGTATTAAATGCATATTTGTTTAGTGAAAGAAAATAAGAAATAGATTTCACAAGATTCACCAATCAATATGTTGATTACGCAACATATTGTCATTTCTTGACAGGGAATGCTTTCAGCTTTTGCCCATTCAGTATGATTTTGGCTGTGGGTTTGTCATAAATAACTCTTATTATTTTGAAGTACGTTCCATCAATACTAGTTTATTGAGTATTTTTAGCATGAAGTATTGTTGAATTTTATCGAAGACCTTTTCTGCATCTATTGAGATAATCATGTAGTTTTTGTCATTGGTTCTGTTTATGTGATGGATTACATTTACTGACTTGCATATGTTGAATCAGTCTTGCATCCCAGGGATGAAGTCGACTTGATCATCGTGGATAAGCTTTTTGATATGCTGCTGGATTCGGTTTGCCAGTATTTTATTGAGGACTTTCGCATTGATGTTCATCAGGGACATTGGCCTGAAATTTCCTTTTTTTTGTTGTGTCTCTGCCAGCTTTTTGTATCAGGATGATGCTGACCTCATAAAATGAGTTAGGGAGGAGTCCCTCTTTTTCTGTTGATTGGAATAGTTTCAGAAGGAATGGTATCAGCTCCTCTTTGTACCTCTGGTAGAATTCAGCTGTGAATCCATCTGGTCCTGCCCTTTTTTTGGTGGGTAGTCTATTAATTACTGCCTCCATTTCAGAACTTGTTATTGGTCTATTCAGGGATTCAACTTCTTCCTGGTTTAGTCTTGGCAGGGTGTATATGTCTAGGAATTTATGCATTTCTACTAGATTTTCTGGTTTACTTGCATAGAGGTGTTTATTGTATTCTCTGATGACAGTTTGTATTTCTGTGGGATCAGTGGTGATATCCCCTTTATCATTTTTTATTATGTCTATCTGATCCTTCTCTCTTTTCTTCTTCATTAGTCTGGCTAGTGGTCTATCTATTTTGTTAATCTTTTCAAAAAACCAGCACCTGGATTCATTGATTTTTCGAAGAGTTTTTCATGTCTCTATCTCCTTCAGTTCTGCTCTGATCTTAGTTATTTCTTGTCTTCTTTTAGTTTTTGAATTTGTTTGCTCTTGCTTCTCTAGTTCTTTTAATTGTGATGTTAGGGTGTCGATTTTAGATCTTTCCCACTTTCTGACGTGGACATTTAGTGCTATAAATTTCCCTCTAAACACTACTTTAGCTGTGTCCCAGAGATTCTGGTACATTCTGTCTTTGTTCCCATTGGTTTCAAATAACTTATTTATTTCTGCCTTAATTTCATTATTTACTTAGTAGTCATTCAGGAGCAGGTTGTTCAGTTTCCATGTAGTTGTGCAGTTTTGAGTGAGTTTCTTAATCCGAACTTCTAATTTGATTGCACTGTGGTCTGAGAGACTGTTATGATTTCTGTTCTTTTGCACTTGCTGAGGAGTGTTTTACTTCCAATTATGTGTTTTATTTTGGAATAAGTGCTATGTGGTGCTGAGAAGAATGCATATTCTGTTGGGGTGGAGAGTTCTGTAGATGTCTATTAGGTCCGCTTGGCCCAGAACTGAGTTCAAGTCCTGAATATCCTTGTTAATTTTCTGTCAAGTTGATCTGTCTAATATTGACAGTGAGGTGTTAAAGTCTCCCATTATTATTGTGTGGGAGTCTACGTCTCTTTGTAGGTCTCTAAGAACTTGCTTTATAAATCTTGGTGCTCCTGTTTTGGGTGCATATATATTTAGGGTAGTTAGCTCTTCTTGTTGCATTGATCCCTTTACCATTATGTAATGTCTTTCTTTGTCATTTTTTATCTTTGTTGGTTTAAAGTCTGTTTTATCAGAGACTAGGATTGCAGCCTCTGCTTTTCTTTGCTTGCTATTTGCTCGGTAAGTATTCTACCATCCCTTTATTTTGAGCCTATGTGTGTCTTCGCATGTGAGATGTGCTGAATACAGCACACTGCTGGGTCTTGACTCTTTTGTCCAATTTGCCAGTCTGTGTCTTTTAATTGGGGCAGTTAGCCTGTTTACGTTTAAGGTTAATACTGTTATGTGTGATTTTGATTCTGTCATTATTATGTTAGCTGGTTATTTTGCCAATTAGTTGATGCAGTTTCTTCACAGTGTCAATCATCTTTACATTTTGGTATGCTTTTGCAGTGACTGATACAGGTTTTTCCTTTCCATATTTAGTGCTTCCTTCAGGACTTCTTGTAAGGCAGGATTGGTGGTGACAAAAATCACTCAGCCTTTGCTTGTCTTAAAGGATTTTATTTCTCCTTCACTTATGAAGCTTAGTCTGGCTGGATATGAAATTCTGGGTTGAAAATTCTTTTCTCTAAGGATGTTGAATTGGCCCCCACTCTCTTCTGGCTTGTAGGGTTTCTGCAGAGAGATCCACTGTTAGTCTGATGGGCTTCCCTTTGTGGGTAACCAGACCTTTCTCTCTGGCTGCCCTTAACATTTTTTCCTTCATTTCAACCTTGGAGAATCTGATGATTTTGTGCCTTGGGTTTGCTCTTCTTGAGGAGTATCTTTGTGGAATTCTCTGTATTTCCTGAATTTGAATGTTGGCCTGTCTTGCTAGATTGGGGAAGTTCTCCTGGATAATATCCTGAAGTGTGTTTTCCAATTTGATTCCATTCTCCTCATCACTTTCAGGTACACCAATCAATTGTAGGTTTGGTCTTTTCACATAGTCCAATATTTCTTGGAGGCTTTGTTCAATCCTTTTCATTCTTTTTTCTCTAATTTTGTCTTCATGCTTTATTTCATTAAGTTGATCTTCAGTCTCTGATATCCTTTCTTCTGCTTGATCAATTCGGCTATTCATACTCGTGTATGCTTCACAAAGTTCTTGTGCTGTGTTTTTCAGCTCCATCAGGTCTTTTTTGCTCTTCTCTAAACTGATTATTCTAGTTAGCAGTTCCTGTAACCTTTTATCAAGGTTCTTAGCTTCCTTGCATTGGGTTAGAACATGCTGCTTTAGCCTGGAGGAGTTTGTTAGTACCCACCTTCTGAAGTCTACTTCTGTCAATTCATCAAACTCATTCTCTGTTAAGTTTTGTTCCCTTGCTGGCGAGGAGTTGTGATCCTTTGGAGGAGAAGAGGCATTCTGGCTTTTGGAATTTTCAGCCTTTTTGCAAAGGTTTTTATTCATTTTTGTGGATTTATCTACCTTTGGTGTTTGATGTTGGTGACCTCTGGATGGTGTTTTTGTGTGGGTGTCTTTTTTGTTGATGCTGATGCTGTTGCTTCTGTTTGTTAGTTTTCCTTCTAACAGTCAGGCTGCTCTTCTGCAGGTCTGCTGGAGTTTGCTTTAGATCTCCTCCAGACCCTGTTTGCCTGGGTATCACCAGTGGAGGCTGCAGAACAGCAAAGATTGCTGCCTGCTCCCTCCTCTGAAAGCTTCATCCAAGAAGGGTACCTGCCAGATGCCAGCCGGAGCTCTCCTGTATGAGATGTCTGTTGACCCCTGCTGGGAAGTGTCTTCCAGTCAGGAGGTGTA